AGGGAGTGAGCCACTGAGCTCAGTAGTAGGTGTTGGTACCATGCCTTGTCCAGAACAAAAAGACTGCAGATGAAGAATGGTAGATTCTCTTAAACTTTCCAGAATGTATGTATGTATGGTCAGAAAAGAGTGCTATGCATCAGGAAGAGTAGGAAACAAGCCCCAGGTTTGCACCTTCTAATGTGTCTTATCTGCCCTTCATTTAAAGTGTTTTAATCTTGGTAAATCCAGATGGAACATAATGTTTCTCTATGGCAAGCACTGGTAATAATCTTGACAGGCTTCTGGACAGGGACTACAAAATGAAGGTTGTGTTTCTGTGTCACTAAAGAGCTTGACTGGAAGGTAGCAAGGGACCATCCTTAGCTCTAGATTCAAGCTGCAGTTGTGACCAGTTACATTTGATTCATGGTAGCAGGTAAAATAGGAGGATTTGTGTGCCTGGGTTGACTTGGCTGCTTAATTCACTGTGGTGCTGCAAATAGACAAAGCCCTCCTGAGGAACTGGCCTCTAAATCTATGAGGAGGGAGGCAGTGTTGTCATTTGATAGTCTTAAAGCAGCCCATCGTTGAACTCGGGTGCTGTGTTCAATGGTGGTTCTGTTTTCAGGCTGTGTGAAGTGTAACAAAATACAGAGTGAATGAGGGTTTAGATCTTGCTTGTTTGGATAAATGAGTGTGGTTTGTAAAGACCTCATGGTTTTCCTCTCTAGAAAACTACACACAGGCTATAGAAGAGTTCCAGGCCTGCCTTGCCCTGCAGCAGAAGTACCTGGAGGCTCATGACCGCCTGCTTGCTGAGAGCCACTACCAGCTGGCTCTGGCATATCACTACAACAGCCAGTTCGATGAGGCCGTTCTGCAGTTTGGCAAATCTGTGGAGGTCATTGACAAGAGGCTGGGTAAGTGGATTTCTAAAGCTGCATACTGAATAGGAGAGCTTTCACAAGTCAAAGCAGACTTTAACTGCACCACAGGTAGCTAAGTGTGCTTTATTGCCTTGCCTTGACAATGTTTGCTGGTCTGAAAGTGGCAGCAGGCTATACTGATACGGGGTTGTTGAAACTGTGTTAGGGGATGCTTGCCTCTGGGTGTTAACTGTGGGCAGCTACTTTGATTGTTTTTGTTTTTGCCATGATAACTGTTTAATCCTAGCAATGCTTACTGAGCGGATAAAGAAGGCAGAAGGTGGGTGTCCTGAAGATGAGAAAGAGATTGAAGAACTGAAGGGACTGCTTCCTGAAATCAAAGAAAAGATAGAAGATTCAAAGGAGTCTCAAAAGAGTGCAAGAGTAGCTGAGTTGGCACTGAAAGCAACTCTGGTTAGTGTGTCCTGTGGTTTCTTTTGACCCAAACGCTTTTCCAGGGAGACTGAAAGTAAACCCATAGTGGGAGGAGCTCAGACTTGGCTGTTGGGATTGAGGGCTGGTGGTTGCTCACATTCGTTACAGGCTGTGATTGTTGAGAAGTAATTGAGGTACTTGATATCTAAAGAGAGGGTGTTTTATTTATAAATACCCTGACATTAAGTGTTCCAAACTAAACTTGAATTCTGTACTCTTCTGTCACAATTTAATGTGTCGGGGCTGGCAATGACAGATCAGCCAAATGTGAGAATAGATCAAGTGTTGCACTTGTCCTGCGTGTGTATGTAGAATGGAGTGGTAAGACATGAAAGGTCTCTGTTTTCTGTCCCTTTCTGAACTAACATGGTCTTGCCAGAATTTGTTCACTGTTTCTTCTGCTTTTCTGAAGGTTGGAACTACATCTGGCTTTGCACAAAGTGAAGACAGCGGCTCTGTTTCCACAGTAAGTTAGCTGAAGATGGATGCTGATAATTCATGTCTGCTGTAAGGATTACTGTTTGGTGTTACTCATGTGTCCACGTCTATCTTGTAATAGATTCCAGTAAGAAAAGCAGCTGATGGTGCATCTCAGTGTGTTACAGACATCTCTCACCTAGTCAGGAAAAAGGTGAGTCCAGAAATGACTGGTTGAGCAGTTTGGTAGAGTACCACTGGCTTGTTCTGCATCATTGGATTTCTTGTCTTAAAGCTTTTTTCTGAGCTTAATTTTATAATGGTCAAAAGCCCTCTAAAATGAAAACCAGAAATAGTGGGTGAAACACCTTTCCACTGGGAGCCAGGCAGTCTGGGAACCATCCAGCCTCCAGGAGTCTGTTCCGGGTGCTTCAGTACCCTGCCTGACTCACACTGGTTTAACTTCAGACCGAGTTGTGTGGCTTCTGCTGGCCAGGAGTGCCCTCCTCTGCTGAGGGCCTGCAAGAGCTGCAGGGCTGCCTACAGATCTTGAGCGCAAGCAACAAGGCTGAGCTGGGTTCCCTTCTTTCCAAGTGGAAATGGAGAATTAAATCTTAATGAATAGCAAAGCCAGTTTAATGGTAGTAATGATAAACTGCCTCTTAAAGAGACAGGTATTGAGCACTAGGTTCCTTCAAAGGTGTGTTGTGTTTTTCCTAGAATTGCTTACTAATAGTACTGAGAAGAGCCCTCATAGGATCTTAGCTTTTATTTTCTATGCTGCTGTGGCACAGCCTGGCCTGTGTTATGTTTATTGGCCTCTTTCAGTTCAGGTTTGCCTGGAGCAACTTTGATCTGCTTTATGCAGGTGTTTGTGTCATAGATGTTCTAATTCCATCCCTTTTAACTGTTACCTGGCTCAGCAGTTGAATGTTTCCTTGCCAAACTATAACTAAGCACTATAGGTACCAGCATTTCAGTAGTGGCTTACTAGAAATCCTCTGTGGTTGAGACCACAGAGCTTTGGTTAAATCTTAATGAACATTGAAGTATCCATGTTGAACCCGGCAAGCAGAGCTTGAGCAGATGATATGCAATGATGTCTAGATGCTAACTCTCTAAAAAATACTTAAAATCTCATTTCTACATAGTGAAGACTATAAACATTTTGTCCTCAGAGGAAACCAGAGGAGGAGACTCACCAGGGAGACAATGAAGCTAAGAAATCTAAACCAGAGCCGGCTGTCAATGGTGGTGGTGGTGGTACTGTCCCCAGTGGAAATGAGGTTGCAGAAAAAATGGAAGAGGAGGTGGGCAGCTGAGGCAGGACCCTGCCCTGGGCTTTGGTTTCCTTTTTTCCTCCCTCCTCTGTTCAGGTGTGGGTTTGTGCCTGGGTTTATTCCTGCTGGCCTTCACAAGGCTTCCCAGGGGAGGTGGGAACATTCCCCACTTAGCAATTATATTTTATATATATAGTATGGTACTTGTGTTATACCATAGTCTCAAACACCACATGGGCTGGACAGACACAGCTGTGGAGACTTGCAGCCTGTCGGGTGGGACAGAAATGTGTTCTGGGTGCTGAGCTACAGCACAGGGCCTTTCCCCAAGTAATTGTCAATACCCCTGGGCTGCAGTGGTTCCTGTCAGTATGTTAGGGTAGTGTTGTGCTTTGAGGACCAGCAGGAGGAGTCAGTTAAGGCCTCAGACTGCAGGAACCTTGAGCTGCTGCATGAGTCGGTGCTGTCAGGGAGTCCCTTGTGTTCTAAAACCAAACCCTTTTCTTCTCTTTTAGACAGAGAAAAGGCCACAGGCAGAATCAGGGGCTGCAGTTGAAAGCACAGTATGATAATTCTTTAACCTTGGACACTCCTCTCCTTACAAGGAAAATGGTTTTGTATATAGTGTATTTTTTCACTTTTTGGCAACTTTTGTATGACTTCAATAAAGATTGTAAGCAAATGTTCCTTGGCTTGACCTGCTCCCTGTTACAAACTGCAGCCTCTGCTCCTCAGTCCCCTCCCTAGGGGGACTTGGCACAGTGTGGGGCCTCAGCCTTTCCACTCCAGTCTGCCTAATGAGGCAGGAGGGAAGGTGGGTGCTGGGGCAGGCTGGGCTGGCTGGTGCTGGGCAGAAGAATGAGGAATAAAATTCACTGTAGCTGTGTCTAAGGCAACTCTAGATCAGACTTCTTTTGCCTTCTGCTGGGCTATGCCACAAGCCCTGGGGTTGTAGAATCATAGAATAGTTAGGGTTGGAAAGGACCTTAAGATCACCAAGTACCAACTTCGCTGTCATGGGCAGGGACACCTCACACTAAACCATGTCACCAAAGGCTCTGTCCAATCTGGCCTTGAACACTGCCAGGGATGGAGCATTCACAACTTCCCTGGGCAACCCATTCCAGTGAATTCCACCCTCACAGTGAAGATCTTCCTTATATCTAACCTGAACTTCCCCTGTTTAACCCGTTACCCCTTGTCCTGTCACTACAGTCCCTAATGAAGAGTCCCTCCCCAGCATCCTTACAGGCCCCCTTCAGATACTGGAAGGCTGCTATGAGGTCTCCACGCAGCCTTCTCTTCTCCAGGCTGAACAGCCCCAACTTTCTCAGCCTGTCTTCATACAGGAGATCATCCTCATGGGACTCCTCTGGGCTTGTTCCAACAGTTCTGTGTCCTCTTTATGTTGAGGACACCAGAACTGCACACAGTACTCCAGGTGAGGTCTAACAACAGCAGAGCAGGGGGCAGGATTACCTCCTTTGACCTGCTGGTCATGTTCCTTTTGTTGCAGCCCAGGGTACAGTTGGCTTTATTGGCTGCAAGTGCACGCTGAAGCCGGCTCATGTCAAGTTTCTCATTGACCAATATGCCCAAGTCCTCCCCAGGGCTGCTCTGAATACTAGCTATGGTTATATTTTGTTCTTTCTACCCTGAGCCTGGGGTGAATTTCTGGGGTCCCTCCCTTACGCTGCTCAAGGCTAAACAGGCTGGGGATGGCTGATAAGAGCTTGTCTGGCCCCTGCACCCTCTGTAATTGCCAGGACTCTGCTCAACCGGCATGGGTGGACTGAGGGAGGGGTGGGGGCAGGGGGTGATGGCTTTTCACAAGGATGTGAAGGTGCCATTCTCTGAGCCAGCCTCAGTCTCTGTGCCCAAGTGTGGATGAGAGGCTGCTCTGGGGCAAATGTATATGTTTTATATGTATATACATAAAAACCAAACAGTGCCTAAGAACTGAAGACCAAGAGGCTGAAGCTATTTATTAAACGTGGCAGATACGATGAAATTCACCACGGGCTTTGCTCTCTCAGGGGTGAGCTGTGATTACCTCTTGTTGGGCTTCCCCTAGAACGGGCTTGTGGTGGGGATGTGGAGCTAAACTATAGGGAAAAGGGGGAGAGGGGGAAAGCGACTGTGCCCCACCACCAGTCCTCACCCCCCCCCATGACAGGATGCAGCAACTCAGCTGTGGGCACTGCTGGGGCAAGGAGCAGCCTGAGGTGGAGGCTGAGCCCTGGAGTGGCTCTTGATGCTGTCAAAATGTCCAGAGCCTCCCTGGTCCCAGGAGGGGCCCTGTGTGCTTCCCCCCTTCCCCAGCACTGCAGGGCCCTGTGCTCATCACACAGCTGGGCCCAAGCCCCATCCCTGCAGCTGTAACAAATTTTGCCATCCCCTCATCACACTTGTTGTTAACAAAGCCCCAGTTTCCTGCTCCAGCCTGGTGAGGGGACACTGGGATGCTGGGGCAGTGCTGTGTGGACATGACCCATTCCCAGCTCACCTCTGGGGATGGGGAGGTTTGTGCTGTGCTGGGAGCTCCTGAGCAGGTGGTGGAGGATCTTCCAGAGCCACAAAAGAGGTGAGGCCCCGGGGCACATGGGGGTGGCCGGGGGCTGTGGGGCTGCCTGGGCCCAGGGCAGGCCTGGGAAAGTCCTGGGAAAGGAGGAAAGTGGCCTTAATGGGAGGGGGTCCCAGCACTGTCCTGCCACAGGAAAGCCATGGTTTCGCACTGGGAAGACACACACCTCCTGCTCCAGTGGCCCCAGCTCCGAGGACACCCATGTTCCCAAGTGGAGCCAAAGGAGCGCTTCCAGAACCACCTCCCCAAGCTCATCCCTCCACAGCCATCATCCCAGCCGGCTCTGCAGCCCAACCCCATCTCCCCTCCCTGCAGAGCTGGAAACTGCCCTCAGATGAGGCTCTTACCACGAGAAGCTCTGGTGCAGCCAGGGCTGGTGGGAGGGGGGGGCGCACGGGGGGTGGGAGGTTGGTGGGGGGCAGCCGAGGACCCATCCACTCCGTGTGGCATTGCAGCATCCCCACCTCTGCCTGGAGCTGGGCCAGCTCCTGTGCCTGCCGCTGGGCTGCCTGTGAGCCTGGGGGCCAGATCACCACCATCACCATGGGGTTTATACTGCCCCATAGCCCCCCAGCAACCCCTTCTCGGGATCCCATTGGGCTCGTGTTCAGGGTCACTGAGGGGGGTTCCACTTGTGCTGCTGTTCTGATTCTTTGTCCCTTGTTAGCCACGCAGTGTCTAAGGGAACACTGTCCCCCTGTCAGTGCTGTCACTGTGCAAGGTCAGGCACAGAGCCCCCACCGTGGGCTGTGCAGTTACAGACCCCAACTTGCACGTATTTGCATGAGCCCAGGGGCTGTGGGGTGCCGATGGGGCTCCCCCTTCCCTGAACCCACAGAACTGGAGAATCAAAGAATCCTAAAACAGTTTGGGTTGGAAGGGACGTTCAAAGGTCCTCCAGTTCCAAGCCCCTGCAGTGAGCAAGGACAGCTTCAGCTAGATCAGGTTGCACAGAACACATCCAACCTGGCCTTGAACGTCTCCGGGCAACCTGTGCCAGTGTTTTACCATCCTCATTGTAAAAGATTTCTTCCTCATCTCCTGCCTGAATCGCTTCTTTTAGTTTAAACCCATCACCCCTCATCCTGTCACAACAGGCCCTGCTAAAAAGTCTCTCCCCATCACCTACCGGCATCAGCTCTCCTCTCCCTCCTGACCTTCACTGCCAAGAGCTCATCTTCCAGCCGCCGGTTCTCCAGCTCTACCACCAGCAGCGCCGCATCCAGGCCCCGAGCACCAGTGCTGGAGGGCTCTGCTGGCACAGCTGGGGGGGGTCAGTTGCCAGCAGTGGGTACAGGGCCTAGGCTGGGCAACGGGGCTGGGGTTGGTGCTTACTTGGCCTCTTGCCTCTGTGCTGCCCTTGGGGTCCTTTCTCCAGCACCGTGGCCTCCACCTGGAGGTGGAGGAGCTGGTCCAGGATGTGCGGGTCGTGTCCCCCAGCTCGCAGGTACGACAGGCGCAGGGCCCTGCCGCAGCCAGGAATGAGCCGGTGCTGGGGCTCATCGGGATGCTCAGCTCAGAGCCGCCATCACCCACAGCCCTCACCTGGCCTCGGCGGCGAGCGGCCCGGCGGCTGGCAGGAGGCTGTCGAGGTGCAGGGTGGCCCTGGGGAGGCACAGGGAAATGGCCACGGGGTTCTTGATGGAGAGCACCCGCTCCATGGGTGCTCCGTGATGGAGTGCAGAGCCCTGCTCCCCCCCCCAGCCAGGCCTCACTGTCTGTGTGCTGCATCCAGGTGTCTGACCGGGTCCTGCGGGGCTGCGGGGGCCTGGGTCAGCTCCACATCCCCCTGGCTGGGAGGTTGGGCCTCCATGGCTGCCTGAGCCCGCAGTGCCGCCAGCCGCTGGCACAGCCCTGTGGGACAGTGAGGGGCTCAGCACGACCCCCACAGCCCCACTGCACCCCAAGGTGCCTCTCCCCCCCACCCCAACCCCTGCCCGCACCCACCCTCTCTCTGCTGCTCCAGCTGCTGGGTCCTGGCCCGGATTTCGGCCATGTGGCGTTCATGGGCCTCCACCAGCTCCTGTGGCCGCTGCCGGTGCCCCCGCGGTGGGGCTGGCCGCTGGGCGGGCGCATCCTGCTGCACAGGGGGCTGCAGCGGGCGGAAGGGGCCGGACCCCACCAGCCATGGGGCAGGGAGCCGATGCCCACCCCGGGGTGCGGGGCTGGCCGTACCTCCACTGTGGTCCTCCTGGACGCGGGCTCGGCCGCACGGAGCAGGGCCCTCTCGCGGGGGGTGAGCACGGCCCCCAGGGGAGCTCCCCGTGCTCGCCTGGGCCCCTGCATGGCCGGTGAGGAGCCGGGAAGCAGGAGCAGTCGGCCTGGCCCGGCGTGGTCCCCAGCCTGGGGCACCCCGGCCTCCGGGAGGCAAATGGGAAAGGGGAAAAAAAATGTGAGCTTTCCTGGCAATAGACGCACCAAGGGTTCCCCGTGTGATGGGGGTGTGTGTGTGTGTGTGTGTGGGGCACGGAGCCGTTGTGGCTGTGAACCCCCATTTCCTCACCCGCAGCACCCGTCCCTGTCCCCATCCCCACATTACCGTGTCCTGCGGCCTCCCCACCATGCCCGGAGCCCCCTCCACAGGCAGCGGGTCCCCCTTAGGGAGGCGGGAGCGGGCGGCCGCCGGCATCCCGAGGCACAGCTTCTCCTCATGCGCCCGCAGCAGTGGCCGGGAGCTGAAGGCCATGCGGCAGCGGGGGCAGGTGAAGGCCGCCATGTCCAGCATGCGGCACCCTGGAAGCGCAGCGAGGGGGTCACTGTGGGGTGCCCCTGCCAGGGGAGAACGGGGCGTTCTGCTGGGGGTGGCAGAGACCTGCTCCGTGCTGCTGGTGGCTGCCGTGTTTGAAGCCACCGTTGCTAGGCTGGGCCAAGCTGGGCGCGCGGCCGCACCCTCACCCTGCCCATTCCCGCTGCTCGGGCACCAGAAAGGGGGTAAAATGGCGCTTGAGAAGTGAACAGCAAACAGGCGGGGGAGGCCCCATCCCGCAGTCCTCTCCCTCCGGTGGGTACAGAGCACTCCTGCCAGCCACGCCGTGCCCCTTTTCCTCCGGGCGGCCGCTCACAGCAGTGCCCTGCAGTCTTTAAGCTCCTCCGCCGAAGTGAGTTGGCTCCATCCAGCCACTGCCCCCCCCCCGTCACGGCCACAGGCGTCCCCAGAACCCCTGCCCTCCTTCGGTCCTTGCCCCGCTCTCTGCTGGCACCGCCAGGCTCACCTCAGGGCACCGGTCACCTCCCCCTGCGATTCAGATAAGGTAAAATTCTTCCCTGTGAGGGCGCTGAGGCGCTGGCACAGGGTGCCCAGAGAAGCTGTGGCTGCCCCATCCCTGGCAGTGTTCAAGGCCAGGTTGGATGGGGCTTGGAGCAACCTGCTCTAGTGGAAGGTGTCCCTGCCCATGGCAGGGGGTTGGAGCTGGGTGAGCTTTGAGGTCCCTTCCAACCCAAACCAGTCTGGGATTTGGTGAGAGTGGGTGATTTACTCAGGAAGAAGCAGCAGTTTGGTGTGTGAGGGATTGCTCGGTGAGGTTCCAGGGGAAGCCAGTAACACTCCAGCAGCTTCACTGATGTTTAAACCACACAGAGCCCATAGGAGGGCAGCCGCACAGCAGATGCAGGAAGAAATCAGACCAAAACTCAGAGAGCTCTCATTACCCATGTGCCCTGCTGCGCTGTCCCTCTACCAGGCTATTCCTTACTCCAGGCAGCTCTTCAGCACCACTTCACCCACCACAAGTGGCTGTCAGCGTGGATTTGATTAAACTTACCCCATTTCTTGACACCACCATAAGCACCTTCCAGTTTTTCACTGAAATGGAGGTAAGGAGTTACACTTTTATAAATTGGACAAACTTCTCCAGACAAAACCAATGATGTTTGATAGCAGCAAAGCATTAGGAACTTCAGGTGATCTGTGAAGTATCTTAAGAGGAGCCAAAGCACTTCCCCAAAGGAAAGGGTTGAGACCATGAAGAAGCACTCTTGAGCTCTGGTGTCTGCAGGAGCTGAGGCACAAACAGCAGTTAGACCTGGTGTCCCTGAGTGTTCCCTTGAGTCCAGATGAAAAGATTCACAACTAACCATTCCCGTTCCATGACACATCTGTCCTGTCTGCCTGCTCAGCAGCGGATTGAGAAATACCCAAGCAAGACCTTGGGTGAGACCCCCTCAGGTCAGTGAGACCCGAGCACTTCCCTCCAACCCATCTGCAAACAGTGCACAACCATGCGGATGCTTTCCAATCCAAAACGTTTGTGTAGCAGCTGAACTTAAAACAGACACTAAAATAGCTTAGGCCACAACTGAGTTGTTTGTAAAATCCTTTTTAATCTAATAGAAATGTTTTCATGAAGTTTTAAAAAAGATTTCAATGAAAACAGCTTTGGATTCAGACATTCCCTTGCCACGTTGTGAACAGAAACAGCAGCATTGCACTAGGAACAAGTGACACCGACCGGTCGAGCTTCACCATTTTGTATGAAGCGGGAAAAAGAAAAAAGCAGCAAACTGCTTCAGTAGAAGAGAATTTGAATCATTTTCTTTAAAGAAACAAAAAAACAAACCAAAACCCAAAAGAGAAACCAACCAACCATGGGCTATCATCTCAGCATTGTTCTCTCTCTCCCATCTTAAAGGGAGAGTTTAGCTTCTGCAGTCTGAGTGCTACAGCGATGTTTGCCAAGTGGAAAAAATACAGTGGGAGAAGAAACTATTTATCCCCAGTGCTATTAAATCCCCCAAAGTTGCAAGTCCCTTTACAGGAAAGCTTCTCTTACATAAGAAAGACAATTAGAATTGGCAAACTGATGCAAAATATTTATTCCAAGTTAGTTATTTTTGATGCAGTAGTTTTTCCCCCTCATACAGACTCAATGTGATAGTCACTTTTTTAAATCTGTAAATAATGTTATCAAAATAATCTTAATCTTTGAAATCTCACAAAAAATTTATATTTTACAATCCACCCTGAATATCAAGGCTGCAAGAAGAAGAACACAAACAATTCCTATATCCAAATATTTTACAGCTGTACCCAAAAAAAAAAGAAGAAAACCACAAACGCCTGGTTAAGTGATGAAGCTCCCCGAGCCGCCAAAAAAAAATAGAATAAAATAAAATATCCATGTTATTAGCATTAATTTAACATAATTAGAACTTCAATAGCCATTTTTGTCATTGACAATGATTGTTTTAGCACACTGTTGCCGCACGCCATTGTGTAATGCGGGCAGCACTGTTAGAAGCTTGTTGTTGCAAAGATCAGTCAGCCACTTGTATCCTGCTTACAAGACTGAACTTGTGCACTGCCCCACAAGGGATTTTTGTCAAAATTTGCTAGCTGCACAAACTTCTATTAAGCATTAGGGCAAAACCAAAAGAAAAAGCTAAAGAAGCCAATTTCTCTCTTTGGGATACAATTATTTCCCTTGTGCATGAAGTATCAACAACAAAAGAAAAAAACTGAACAGACTGGAGACAGAATAAACTCTGTTTAGTTTATACAACCCCAAACACGTGTTGAACTATGAACTGAGTTTATTGGGTTGGTTTTATTTATTTTAATTTTCTTGTGCCCGCTTTCAGGCATCGTCATCTGACGTTTCGCTGCTACTAGTTTCTGTGTCTGAGTCCTCAATCTTTGTCTTAAAAGTGCTTCTCCAGTGGAACAACAGGCTGGAGCCGCGGCCCTGAAGAAATCCATTCTTCCCAAATCCATTTCTTCTTCGCTGTAGGAATGAAAGTAAGTTTTAAAACAAGCACAAGCATGGAGAGTGACTGTCACTAACCATCTGTGGGCACAAATTACATGTTTAACTGTCTACACCCACACTGCATGGATAATGCAGTCATTGACTGCACTACAATTTCACTTCAACCCTTTGTCTTTTCTAGTATCCGTAAGAACTACACCACAGACAACCTGTGCATGAGAAGGGAGAGGGAGAAGAGCAGTCACAATTGGCAAGAGCTGTAAAACATACCTGCTCTGATTTAATTTGGAACTCTTTGAGCTCATCCTCCGTGAGGGGAAGGTAGTTCTCATCATTTTCAGGATATTCCTGCCATCCCATTTCTTTCAATAACCTGATTTGTGGAGGAAATAAAAATTGGAATTAAAGCAAGGCAACAGTGGCAAAGGAGAGGACATTTTGTCCACGAAGCACAAAGTTTTGCAGTAAACCACTCCCAAATCACCAGGGAAACTTCTGATATTAGACATGACTTCAACAATGCTTCACGTTCACCCAACATTTTTCAATGTCTTTTACAAATATTTAATCATGAGGAGTCTTGTACAATGGGTAAATAACTGGCCTGGCAGACAAAAAAGCAAGGCAGAGATTTGAAATTCTACCCAAGGATACTGAAGAAGGACATGAGGCAATCAAACCAGTATCACAGCTCAGAATGTCCTAAAACTTCCTATCTGCTTGCGCCAGATGCTCACACACTGCTTGTTTACTGAAGGGAGATACAAGCTTAGATAGTAGGTAAACACTTTCTACACTCTCTTCCACTTTTACAGCATTTAAAGCAGCACAGGAATATTCTATGCACAAACAGAAGGAAGTGGTGTGTGTGTGTGTGTGAGGGTGTATCTTCAGTCTTCAGACTATTACATTTAGGACACCTGCTTGTACATCAACCAGAATCACACCAGGTTCATGCTGACTCCCAGTGTGGGCAGGTAAATATGTAGGCAGCATTAACACACAGGGACGTGGGCACTGGAGAAGCACTGGAATTTAATTACAGACCATGGTAAAGTCTTGGCTCACCTGTCATCAGTGTCTTGTTTTAATTTCAGTGAGGCTCCACCTAGTCCAGCACTACCCATGAAGCCCACACACTGGTTTAGTGTGCACAAAGCTACTGCTGCTTCTGAAATAGTTTCCTTCTCCTCACACAGTCCAAGGATTCACCCTCCTTTACTCAAGACACTTTATTTTGCCATTTACTCACCTGTGTTCTGCTTCCAATGAATGAGAGAGGTTTTCCCCCTCCTCTGGCAAAGGGAGAGAAAGGCCATTCTGATGGCAGTTCTCTTCCCAGTTTTCCTTTGGTTCTGGTGTGCTGTTGCTCTCCATCTAAAGAAAAACAAAAGCATCAAAGAGTGCTTGCAAAGACCATGCCAATAGCAGATTTCCCAGTCCAAGCTTCTGGTTTTGGAAGTAAAGTCAAGCCTTTCACCTTGAGTCAGTGCTTTTTACAGAGCCTGCACTGACAGTGGTTTAATGCAACTTCTGCCTGACTGTGACAACACAGTATGAATGATGTTTGGTAGACTGCACTTCTGTGTGAAAGGAGTAAGTGCTGGCATTACAAAACCATCATCAGTGGCTTCAGGAACCTCAAAAGCTAATTCCAGTATTAAAATATGGTATTGTTTCACTCCTTAGTGAAACACCTTGCAAAAATCTAGACTACCTTCACCATCAGAGACCTGCCTTTCCATCTCATTACTTATGCATTTGTATTTCATCAAGTTAAGATCTCCCTTCATCGCAGTGCTGTGTACTACTGCTGCTGGCATGTATGCCAGACCACTGGAAGTCAATCCTTTCTTCCTCCAGGGCCTGAATTACATACCCAGCTGTTTTTTTTTACCTCCAGTACCCAACTCGTTAAATATATAATGATCACATATACAGCAAGGACAGAGATCTTACATCATCCAGCTTGTCACATTCTCTGTTCTCGGTTATCTCCCCATTTCTATCATCTTTCAGTGCCTTCAGGAACTCGCTCTTCTTATCAGTGGTACGGCGCATCAGCTTTGTCAGGCGTGAAGAGCAGATCTCGATGGGAGGGGTGGTGCTGGAAGGACTCTAGACAAGGAAGGTAAAAAACAGAGACCTTCAATCTGTATTTCTGCAAAGATGGAGCCCTCTTCAGTACACTGTTCTCCCCACTTATCAGTATCAACCCTTAACTTTTTCTTCTCCTAGGAGTCAATTCACATGGCCATGAATAGGTTTATTTTGTTTCTTGCCAATGCAACTCTAAAGCAGTGCCAGAGCCTACAACAATATGAAGGCAAAGAACTTCATGCAGGACTCTTACTCTCCAAAAATTAAGATTAGGCTCAGTTAAAATTTGCATCTTAAGACATCCTGACAGACTCTATCCTGAAATCATGCTGCGGGGTTATAATCCCCTTTCAGGGAGTGGTCACACCCTTAACTAACCACAAGTGATGTGAAATAGGTAGCCACAGCCTCAGTATCCTCCCCTGGAGAGTGTGCTGCTGATTCCTTGCTGTGTACACTCGCAGCCCAGATGGTTCAGTGTGGAGCCAGACACAGACAACCCTGAAGCCTGTGGGGACTCTGCTCAGCTCAATTCACAAATCCAAGGTAACCTCCCATGCTCTTCCACAGTGTTTAAGCTTTCTTAATGATTCTGAAGCTGTGAACCAGGGGTAAGGCACAACAGTTTGTGCATTACCAGTACCCCAGCCATGATACTGCAACAGAAACACTGCTAAAGAAGATGAACTTTCAATTTAAACTGTTCCATCATTTCCACTGTACACACAAAAGAAATCTAAAAGCACGCTATGTGAAAGTTCTTGATTTCTTAACCTTCTGCTCATGTGGATTTCATGTCTGGTTTCTCTAAGAAAAGGAATTTATTCATTAATAAGGATACCTGACACCAGCCTCTTGCATGCAAAACTATTCTTTTCCTTCACTTACTTGGATTTTTTTACTCAATATTAAACCAGAGTAACATTTCCTAAAGTTTGTAGCATTTCTCTCTTACCCATTTGGGGTTTTTTAAAGCTAGGATGGGAAGGTTGCAAATTCAGGCTCTTCAAAATGAATCGCCTTTGTAAAGTACTTTCTTAACAGACTCATAGCGCTTTGAGCAAAGATGACGGGAACTAAAATATTTAGCAAAACAAAACCAAGGCAGCAACTGCTGCTTGAATTTGTCATGCCTGTTGCACATAAAACGTGTGGAATAACGCCCTTCAGGGAAGTGCGTGCTGAAAGGAATGCCTTACAGTAGGTATTTCTCAGGTAGCCTTCGCAGATTTTGCCTAATTCAACACAGTAAAGAACACAGCAGCAATCGTAACAGATGTAACAAGTGACTGTGAATATCAGGATAAAAAAGCCAGCACAGTACTGAAATTATGCTCTTAACACAGCAACTAGCTTAACTTCAGAGATGGAAGGTAACAATAAATGAGGCTAAAACTTCGATGTTTTCTGGTTAGCTCTTTGCTAACGGCTGTTTTAATGTTTCATAAACTGCTGAGGTACTAAAACTTAATTTCTACCCATTAGTGGGAAACAGCTGAAAGTTTAGAAACACAGATTCCTGAAAGGGAATTTAATTTCACTTCAATTCTGGTTTTATGCAGAACTTCCAGTAGAAATGGTTTTACATAACATTCTCTTTTAGTATTAAAGGGGTACAAGTAGGCATTTTTGGCATCTTTTCTAAAGGTAAGTTTAACCCTTTGACTTATCAAGGCAGCTGTTTTCATTTTATTGAGAGCACTGCATCATCTCAGATTGTTCAGATGTCAATCTATGTAACAGGGATGGCTACTCCTACAGAAAAGTCACCCTGAATCACTTTAAGACTTCAGACTGTATCTTAACCTGGTTATTTTAGACTGGTTTGTGGGGACACAGTGTCAGTGCTCACTGGCACCCTTTCAGTTTTCAACACACTGCGATCTCTTATGAATAGAAGTGCTATTTGCAACACTTCTGCAGGAGGGTCATTATCCCCGTTTCAGAAATAAAAAGGCAGAGATTACTTGCATCAGGCCTGTGGAACTAGGATTACAGTAGTATCTGCTGGCCATGCTCCTGTGTTTTTATACTGCAAGTCTCCAACAGATTCAAAGAAAAAAAATGTTCAGTTTTAGTGGGGAGGAATTTTTAAGCCCTTTTGTTCAATTGATTGACACTGGTAATACAAGAAGCATTCAAGGCAGCACTGCTTGTTCTGGGGAAATCCCAGCTGCCTACTCTGGTTGTCAGACAAGTATCTGGCGTCTTTGCTGACTAAAGGTTCACACAAGACCTTGAAGGGGGGAAGGGACGACTTGCGTTACTGACATATGATACAGATATGCTGTATGATGTGAAGTGAATGCCCTTCTCAGTATCTGCCTATTGAACTTTACATATTTATCCTGCAAAGGTGTCCATACTGTGCTGTGCATTACACAAAAAGGCAAGCTGTCAGTAGCACAAAGGACTCAGTCTAAGGACAGACAAAAGCAAGGGAAAGGAATGGAGTGTAAGATCTATTTGTCAGTGACAGGCCTATGCTTGTTAACTATTGCTTTTTAATGACTGCTTTTACACTCAGCAGTGGCTAAAGCAGGAAAGTACATGCTGCTGTAAAGCCTGCAAAGCACAGAATCATGAAGATGACAAGGCTGTATTTTGGAAGTAAGATCTGCCAAGGAACAAGACAAATGCACAACTAGAAGAAAACCCCAACCCGCTGTTACACTTGAATGAATGTCATCTATCACAGTCTTGGGTTTTGTTTGTGTTCCTTTTACATATGCTCACAAAAATTTTGAGAAGCAGAGGAGAGAAGTTATTCAGTGCCACTTTTCTATTTAGCGTCGTGGACTTCCAAGGTCCAAACCAGCATTTTCTATACAAGCTACGGAGCAAGGCATAGGAATGCTGGCCAAAACATGTTATATCATCATTACTGCTGAAACGTTACTAGAGTTATACACCAAGGCTCTCTCTGTACTTCAGACCAAAACCAGAGGGAGTCAGTTTCCACCTCAGCACATTACTTCCTTCCAACACCAAAATTAAAACCAGACACTGTAGCTGAAGACACATATACACGTGTTAAACTTCCCCAACCTCCTCAGAGATCACTGCTTGTCCTGTTGTGCTCCTAGAGAAAGGATATGAGGCAGATTGTTCTCCTTCCCCTTCTTTCCTCATACTGAAGAGCCACATGGAATCAGTTCACTTATCTATTTACACCAGTTCTTGGTATCTGCACTCCAGTAACACCAAGTCTGTGCATGTCTAGTTATGCAACACTATTTAAAGGATTAGTATGTTTTTTCATATTTGAGGAAAATTCTAACACATTCAAACACCAATGGCTTTATATTCAGGTAAACCACATTTTTATTTCTTTTAGTGTATCAGATGTGGCAGAACATGCTAAGAACGTACAAGCGACTCATTCTTCATGGGTGCAAAGGTAGGTACCATATACAGAAAGGACCTTATGTTTCAGCTACAGTAGGTGACAGTGACAAGAGTTCCCACCCTATTCCCAAACCCAACCCCTTACCTCTTTGGGAGAGGTGAGGACTGAGCCACTCGCCAGTACCGCTGGTTTGGTTACAGACACTGGACTGGTAAAGGCAGAGTCACGGCTGGAGGAAAGCGAGCCTGGTTTGTGTTCACTTCTGTTGGCTTTCCATGGACTTGGCTATATTGAAGAGAACACAAGATATTGGTCAGTAAAGGGTAAGGCACAAAAAAGGGGTTGCTTGCAAGAAATAAAACAAATCAACATTGTCTGTTAAGTGGATATTTCTTTCCCCTCTACAAGAACAATCTCACCAAATTCACCTTGACAGCAATTATTTGTTCCTCTGTCTTCTTGTTTCCCCCAAATCACACATAGTTCTGCTTCACGGGCACCACCCTCCAGTAAAACACCATTAGATCTCAGAAAATGCAGCACTGCTCTTCATTAAGTGGAAGCACCACCAAGTAAAGCAATGTAATCTTACAGCTACCCACAGATGGGCAGTAAGAATGCCAATTAAATTCACATTTCATATGGAAGCACTGTATGCCACAAAGAAAGGGTTTGCAACACTTGACAGGACCTTCCCCTGTGCGAGGAAGCAGCATTATCAAGGAGTATTTCTGTCCAGGCTGAGAATGCACATTATTTATTTCCTAGGGCTCTGAAAGTGTCCATCATTGCACTGATTTAGCAACAACAAGGAAAAAAGTAATAAAAAAAGGAGGAAAAGCTGCTGGTTCATTAAAGTGCATGAGCACTTGCTGTTTTGCTCTGCATACTCTGCAGTACCCCTTCAAACACACTAGCAATTTGGCTGAAAAACAAAGACTTTGAAAAACAAAGATAAGGTTTTGTTGTTTGGAATGTTATCCTTGAGCCTCTCTTATCAACCAAGGACAAACACTGTGAACTGCTAAGTCTTTTACAAAGAGGATCCTAACAAGAAACTTGTTATCAAGTAGCACAGAAATACACCTGTCAGAGCATTAAAACATACTGGTTCTTTTGACCCATCAGACTTTTTAAGCCAGCTTCAATAACTCATGCACAAGTGGGATCCAGTTAAATCTGAGACTGAAAAAACATTCCGCAAGCAATGAGAGCAGAAGCCATTATTGCACTATGTTCTCACTCTCCACTGGGTTATTTTATTCATTTTTGAATAAACAAATCAGTAGGGGAGGCCATCAGCATTACTCTTCCACTCCAACTTAAAAACAAGAGCAGTCCACATTACTGAATAGATTATTCAGCATTCACAGCACACATTCCAAACATTCCCTTCAAACCTAGAAAACATCCTTATCTGTGCAATATTGGCTGGTACTAAAATTACTGTGACAAAGAAGTTTCTCTCCACAGATCTGATGGCAGTGCTGTTTGGCTGCCCAGCTCTTTGTTGCCGATTGTTGTTCTCCCAGCTTCCACAAAGGGGCACTTCAGACAAATTCAAAGACAGACCCTTACTGCTTCCTTAGGGAGGCCACTAGATTCAAGCACAACTCGAGATGAGTATCAAAAGGAATCGTTTGCAGATTATGACCCTCATGGATTTCTTGACTGTGAGCCATCACAATTAGCCCAGAAGGAATGCACCCGTTTCACTGACACCAGTTCTCTTCCTTTCAACACTACTTAGTATAACAACAGAAAAACATTTCTCACTCACTTTGCCTGTGACAGCTTTCCAGTATCGCTGTCTTTGTCAAAAGGATGTTTTGAGCTGCTATTTAATGCACTGCAACTCCTGTACAACTTTCTAGAAGTCTCTAGCATAATGCATCCTACCATAGCTGCTTTATGTCTGTACCTTTTAAAAAAGGCATTGTGCACACAGGTTTTCTTGCTAAGGCTATGCTGGTATCCCTTTATTAAGCTTTGCTACATGATCTCCATTCATTAACAGAACTGCTACTGATTACATCAGCAAACAATTCTTCCCTGCTGCAATCTCCACCACTGAGGAGCAGTATACTGGCCAACAACCACAGCACCATGTCATGCATACACACATAGTAAGTACATACTTACAACATGCTTACTTAAAATGACTGATCTCTTGGCCTATAACCTCCTCCACTAGCCAAATAACATTTCATATATTATCAATACTGTAATACTTCAGGTATGAATCTGGGCTTACCAACTGGTTCAGTACAGTAAATACTTAATTAAAAGCAACTTAGGCAGCTACCACTGCATATTGCCACAATCTCTGATTTAAATATAGATTCACAATCTGGAATGCAAATGAGAGCTACCTAACATGTAAAACAAGCTACCAAAAAGAAGCCCTACTATTATTTTTGATTTAAGGTGAACTTCCATACCACCCGCAAGGCTGCCTCAGAAGAACAGAGCATATTTACCTAATTCTCTATACAAATTAAAGGGTTTATTCCAACTGTGAGCACTGATTAATGGATTTTTTGTTTAATCGGAAGAAGCAAAACTTCCAAGTCTAATTTCAGAATGCAGTTAGGAAAACCTTCAATAACAGTAACAGTAACAAGACATGTACATAGCTTTCACAACCACATTTCAACCTTTCAATCCCTACACCTGGTACAGCACTAACTTTAAGACCTCACAAGTTATCTTTGCCCTCAACAGCAGCTAAGCGAGAAAAGCTGTTGGCACTCCTGTTCACTAAAATTCTGTTTACTTTGAAACAATCAAAGAGACAATCAAACAGCCTGCAAAGAAACTGTATTTTTGGCTTTTTGTTTCAAAGACCATTCAAAACATCCAGACTAAAGCCAGGTAAGACTATATACACACATATATCAAACAAGCTGTACAAGCAAAAAATAAAAGCCACAGGAGACTCCCTATCCATCACAAGCTGCATCTTGTTTAACTCTTCCAAACAAGTACATTATGGACTGAAAACTATGCAAAGTGAAAAACTCTTTTATTAATAGCCTGTTAAATGGGGTCAGTTTACCCCATCTCACCGAGGAAGAGATCATTTGTCAGATTAAGGGTTTACACAAGATTAGCTGATAATCATTTTATCCATTAGGATTTTTCCTGTAGCTGGCAGAATTTAGCCTGAATTAAGAAAAACTTATCAACAGGAAAGAAGCTCTAAAACTTGCTTTCTCACAAAAAAAGTTGTTAATCTTTCCTATTTTGCCTTTGAAGGGTGTAAAACTAATCTAATCACAGGGAAGATTTTGCTGGAATGCTGCAGCCAGCATTAGTAATTAATAAATTAAATTTCAGAACTCGAAGTATTTTGACACATTTTTAAAGATCCACCAAACCAGTAATTTCCTTTAGCTTCTTACTTTCCCTATCAATCCTACAAAGTTTTTAAGGCATCTACACATGTAGGTTCTCTGGAATAAAGGGCAAGATAAAGCATAGAACTAAGAAACAAAAGAAAATACTTGGTGTTTTTTTTTTTTCCCAACACTCCCGTATTTCTTTCAGTAAAAGAATTGTAGCACAAATCCCATTACTTTTCCAGGTTGTCTTTGAGGCTCAACTAAACTAGAGCTAAATTGCAGGATGTTACAGTCTAATCTGATCTTCGCCTCAATTGTGTTTTAAACACATCAAAGTGCTGTAACCCAAATAAAGATTTTTTTCAAGGTAGTCATGTGAACAATTCAAGCACATCTTAGCACACATTCCACTTCTCCAGCATTGCTTGTTTTGTCTAATTTAGGTAAGGATTTGTCTAATACATGAGACATTCAAACATTTTTATAGTCAGAAGTTAATTCTCTGTATGGACAAGACCAAATGGCATTTTAACAGGGAACAACAATTTTAGTAGTAAACAGACCTCTGCTTTGAAAGCCCCTACCCCAGAAACTACTGGATCCCAGCTCCTGCTATTTGTTAGGGGACTGATTCACTTGCCAAGGGACAGAGTTCTCCCTTGGTCTGCAGTTCACTAACTTTGCTGGAAACCCCTGTACCTTGGAAGGAGGAGCTGCAGGTTTAGGAACCAGATTTTTGTAGACACTTGGGACAATGGTGGTGGCTTTGTTGCCATTTGCCAGGTGAGAAACAGGTGATGTAAATGCAGCTGAGAAGGCAGCGGCAGGATCCTCTTTTGAAACCTTTTTGATGACCAGCATCTTGGTAGGTTGCTTGGCACTAGGGGGGTTTTCTGTAAGAACAGAACGAGAAAGATTCTGAAATACAGATGTTCAGTTTCGTAACAGCTTCAGAACACTGTTCTGGTTTCTGCCCTCTCAATCTTAGGTTCTACATGTCTGATTCTGAGACTGCTATTAAATGTTCTTTTGTTTCAGCTTTGAGCAAAGATACTGGAAAAAGATGTCAAAGTCCAATCTTTTTCATTTAACCACAACAGCTCCCTTGATGCTGAAGGGAAAGAAACTAAGTGGTATCAGCTAACAGCCTTCCACCATACTACAGGAATCAGAGCAGATACTAGCATCTTTTTGAAAAACCATTAACACAGCAAAAATACACTGCATAAGTTATACCTCAAAAGACACAGTGCTTTCAAAAACAGGTAAAAGCCACATAAATGCTGATTGTTATTATTTTTGCAGCAGAACAATAACTATTGAATACAATCCAGTACTGCAGCAAGAAGTGGTTTTGATTTATTTGTACTATTTACTGTATCTAACCCAACTGATGCAGCTACATTCTAACCAGATATTAACAAACCTGAATTTAATTGCCAGAACTGGTACCCTGTTTATTTTTATTTTTCATATATTTGCCTACCAAAAATAAAAAGCAAGACTGTTCTGAGTTAAAAAAAAAATAAAATAAAAAACATCAAGTAAATCTAAACCACAGAATTAGGACAATTTTGCTCTATTTCAAATACAAAGATCACAAGTCAGGAACTGAGGTCTAGTTCAGTCAAATCTACTCTGCCCTTCAAGTGAGGTCTTGAAATTATAAACTTGGAGTAAGCCAGGAAGCAAAGGCAGAACAGTGACTTTACTGCCACCAGTAGTGTTCAATGACAAGCAGTTTCAAGTAGACAAAAAAGCCAAGAGATTAGTGGATTGTGGGAGGAAAACAACAAAGATTCACTTAAGTCTTTAAAATAGTTTGGAGTGAAAAAAATACCATGTAAATCATTGGTAACACCTTTCTGCTTCAGCAGAAAATTCTGTACGGCTATGTAAATACCTTTACCTACCCCATACTCCAGAAGGTGTCCCTAAAGGTTTGTTCTGGTTGTTTTGTCTTCCAGCTTCTGGATTCAAAGACGGCTGTAGAAAGACAATGCAAATGAGTGTATTATTATATTGCACATAACAAAATAATTCATCATTAATATAACATTATGCTTCTAGGAACCCAGAGTACAGGTGAATTTCTCCGAACAGTATCTGAATTAGAAGAGAGTGCTTTGTCACAAGACATCTGAAAATCAAGTTTGTATTCTCCTTGGCTTCTGCTGTATTTTCAACAGAACTATCAGTGGGTTCAAGATAAGCCCTTTAGTCTCCTCCTATACAACTGAGTAGATTCCACCAATCAATAAACACATGAAAGATTTAAGAATTTAATCAGCAGCTTGAGTTATAAAACAGACTCCACATCATCAGTATTTGAAGATTCTAGTCTAATTTCCCAAATATTTTTATATAATAATTACAATTATTAACCAAATAAAAAACTCCCCACAACACACCACCACCCAAAAGCAATACTAGACTCCTAATGTAAAGGAATAATGAATACATATACAATTACTGACAAAAAAACTACATGTAAATTAACGTTAAGCTTCAGGGTCCACTTGTCAGCACAATATCGCATGCATACTCGGTGATCTCTGCAGACTTACCTTTAATTCAGTATCAGAATTCAGCTTAGTAGAACAACTAAGGACATGTCCAAGCTCAAAGCAGAGCACAGAAAATCTCAACATTCATTGTCAAGCTTTCCAGATTAGCTACTCCTCTTACCCCATCCCAAATAACTTCAGTTCAAAATAAAGCCATCCTTTTCCTCTTTTTAATGAATTCTTCATATGTTAGTTACTATGGCAACAGTGTAAGTCTTTAATAATGAGCTTCTGAAATAGTAGGCATTCCTGTTTATAAGAGTTTGGAAAAAATGTGACACCATAGCATAAATTCCTGCTTCAGACCTTGGAAATTCCTCTGTTTCAGTGCTTCATTTTTTAGTTACAGGTCAGTTTTATAGCAGACGTGCTCATACCATAGGAGAACTTAGGACTAACAAACTATTTTGCAGGCCTTCCAGGAAAAGTCATCAGCCACACAGGCCTAACAGCCACATACTTAGGCACAGTATACATTAGTTTCACCACCTATGGCAAAGACAATACATGAGCTCTTTAGCAATGCTTGCTACTAAACAGTGTGTGGTATTCTCATCTAGAAAAAAAATGGGGGAGGTAACTACAGAAGAAACAGCCCTGCACATGGGGAAAGGCACTTGTCAAGGCACTGAAGAAGAGAATGAAGAAGGATGTGGAAGAAAGATCAAAACCAAGACAGACTATGACAGTGCACAGCTCCAGTCATTACAGTAACTTTATATTTCATCAAGCTTTTGACAGATTAAAGAGGTGGCTTACAGAAATTCTTGAGAAATCAGATTAACTGAAATCCACACACAAGCTTTATCACTGCTCTCCAGGTGTTAACCGCCCCATCATGCACGCTACCACTCCCAGCAGAAGCAGCTGAACAAGAGCATGCAATCACCCCCCAGACACCTCAGTGACAAAGCCCAGCACCTTAAATCAAACTGGCTCCTGTGGCAATTTAAGTTTTACAATTTAAGACTCTAGATTTTGGCCTGAAGCAGCTACAGGCATTCATATATTTCATTCCAACTCCTAACTTCCTGATAGAAGTAGTGCCATGAAACTGCCATGACAATTTCAGCTGTAAACAGCTTTCCAGAGATAAATGCTGAACAGGAGAGCAAAAAGCTCAACATGGTGATACAACTATGTTTTTGGTGCACACTCTCACCGAAAACTCTCATTACTGGATGCAGCAGTGGCTTTAGCACTGGAGATAAAGTCAGAAGAACTGCATTAGATAAAGGGACTGAGTTACCAGAACCTTACAGATGATACTGATGTTATTATGAGACTAGAGATAGCAAGAAACAAGATGCAAAAAGCAAAACGGGTGGTCTTCAGGGACAGGGGAATGCATTTAATTGGAAAGAGAAAGCACAAAAGGTGTGTAGGCCTCAAAGCAATAGCATTAAGGAATGCACATGGTAAGGATGAAAACCGTGAGTCCAAGTACTATTGGTAAAGTTTGGAAAACTGAAGATATTCCGGTAAAATAGAGCCAAGATGTAAGAGCCTATCATACTGATAATACCACGTGAATCAGAATGCTCGATAGGAACATGAATTGGAGAAACTGATGGAAGAAATGTCCTGAGAAATCTGAATCCACAAATTGAGATAGAAAACCATCTCCGATCACAAAATACTATTCCAGAAGACTCAAGACAGATGGTTGCAAAGGTCTGAGCATGTCATGAATAAGCTTGGAAAGGTTATCACGAACACCAACATGGACCACGACGCAGAAGACAGGAACAACATGCAGACTGAAAATAAGCTGAATAGATGTACTTAGGAGAAAAAAAAAAAAAAGGCTTTGTAAGCAGAGCCATGAAGTCAATACAACTGCTCTTCCTGGGCAAACTCAGGTATCACCTTACGGGTTTTGCTGACACTCTGGCTTGTGTGTTACAATGCAGTCTTCAGTTCGCAATAACCATACGGTTAAAACGTATGTGACAAACCCTATAATCCAACAGGACATCAAGTCCTGAGGACTCTGGGTGCCAATTAGCACTGGAATAATCTGTTGTGATCTCAAACATGGAATGGAACGCAACTCTGCCGCCTATCAATGCTAATAAATGAGAAGTGAAAAGCCACTTCTCACAGGTGCTACTGCTAGTGTGAAGCTACAACTTACAAAGTCTTCTTCCTCAAATTGCAACTGCTCTTTATCTTCCTTCTTCTCTTCCCTGGATTCAACAGGCAGCTTTTCTTGAAAGGCGGAACTTTTCCGAGAATGGAAGTTGCCATTCCAGTGGCGATGAACTCCAGTTCCTCCTCCACCACGCTGGTTCACACCATCATGGCCCCGAGAAGGACCGTGCCAGCCAGGCTGACTGCCAGAAAGCCCAACATGAGCTCCTTTAGAAACACCAGAATCTACAGAATCATGGCGGAGAAGGGACGGCTGATGCCAGCAGTCTAAACAAAAGAAGAAAAGCATGCAATTAAAAAAGTCAACACAGCATGGAGAATACCGGAGATATCAGGCTGCAGTTCTTGTTGTGAATTCAGTGTTCACTAAGGACCTATTATGCCAAACTTATTAAGCTATTGTGTGATTTTATCAGCAAACAAACCAAGCTACACAATGCACATATAGCTATCACAAAAAACCCTTCAGGCCTGAGCACATGGCATGGGAGAAGAGAACACCACAAATTTCTCATGTGACATTTTGAAAATGTAGAGTTTGGTAAAAACGCTGGTTATATTCCGCACAATTCTTCATTCTGTAGAACATTTCGAAATGCCTGCTCTCAGGCTGCATTCTGAGCCTTCTCACTCACCTCCCGCAGCTCGGAGGGGCCCATTATTGAAAAATCCATCCGAAGAGTTGTGTCTCCTACGGCTCACGCCAAAGCGGCCCTCTCCCCGTGGAAGATGCTCTCCATGTTTCTCAAAGGTGGCTGCAGGGGACTGCAGAAAGTAAAAAGTGGTTTAATGAAGCATTCATTAGGGCATTCCAGGAGCCTGTTGGTCCAACAGCAACATTTCTGTTAATTGAAAAACAATTAAAACCAAACCCTCATATTCCTATACTAATTTTTCATGTACTAACTTTCAAGCTAAAGGTTTGTTTTAAATGAATCAAAATGATCCTTACATTATTTGTGTGTTCTCATATTTAAGCATGAAGGTGAAAGTCATATTCTTTCTTATTCATCAACATTGCTGATCGTGATCTGTTCTGATATTAAAATGTTTGTCTTCTCTGCCATGCACAAGTAACACAAACTGTTGAAGTCGTGGGTCAGCCTAAGGCGCCTCTGGAATCAGTCTCAGAAAGGTGTCTGGCAAATTGCCCTCATTTTAAAGTTGCAAAAAACTAATGAGTATTTTTGAGTTTGCAGCTAGAGCCCCAGGGCTCATCATCAATACAGTACTCAGCAAGTGTCAGATTATCTTCATAAATCAAACCCAAATTATATGCTGAATTGTAAGTAAGTGGCAGCTCGAGTCTTGACTTCACAAAGATTAAGAACCATTTCTTTAATGATTTTCTATCTGGGATCCCACTCAATTCTCAACACAAAGACATGAACTACTTCCACGTCTGAACACAAAGATTGTTCCTCCTCCGAAATAAGATACATTTTTTGAAATAAAGACAACCAAAATTATGTCCGTGTTAGTTTCCAAAAGCCTTCTTTATAAACACAAAAGAAGTTAAACATTCTAATTGCAACAAAACTCTGGGGCAATTTTTAAACTGTTATTATTGTCATAGCTGTAAAAGGAGGTGATCTGGATTAATGTTACCTTGGTTGACTGTGGTGTTGAGAAGTTAAGCCAGGCAGGAACAAAGTCATGCTGCGCCATTTAGGTCCAGTGTCTCCCTTCAATAAAATGAGGCATCAAACCTCATGGCCAGGATCTGTAAATGAAAAGAACATTCTCTGTCATCTTTTCCAAACTGAAATACTAATACCATTTATTTCCCAAAGCTTGGCCTACATGAATAGGAGGGGCAAAGTGCTGTATTTTCGTATTACACTTCAGTACTTTTTTCCCTGCTGACTTTGTTCCTCTGACCAAAACAGGTAAGAACTTAAACATTCCCAGTTATTTCCTGTTTACAATGAGCACACCCATAACATTTGTGATAGGATGGGTGTGAAGGTGGGAAGGAAGTAGATCAAATAGCACATGAAAGCCATACAATGCACAAACGTGTAAAATCAAGACATGACAGAACGTGGGGCTCTAATACACTGCTCAATGTCTCAGTCTACAAGGGGTTAATCACTGCATGTCTTATTCCAGGTGCTGTAAATCAAATAAGACCAAACCAGCAATGCTGGAGGCTAAGAGCAGATCAGAGACCTGATAGACAACCATATGCCAGCTCCTGCACCTCCAAATTAAAGTCATATCCAGATCCCCTAACTGTCATGCACAGGGAATATACCATGCTGAAGCTGCTATTATAGCTAAGAATCCAAATGGTTAGGAAAACAAGGTGTTTGAAGGACCTTAATGGAAGTTCAACTGAAGAGCAGCTGAGGCATCTCAGTGAGCAATCTGAAACTGGACTGCTCTTTCCAACGTGTCATAGCAATTTCCACTGCTCAAAATAATGAAAATTCCATTATTGCTCTGTATAACTGAATTCTGTCTATGGAAGCTTCTCCAGATTACCATTTTGTTTCTTTTTCAACTTTAATTTACCTATGAACAAGTCAACACTATATAACCAAAGCAGTAAGTACACATGGTCACTTACCCTGAGTTTGGCCTCTGCAGTCCAATGTCCTCAGTTTCTGTGCTTTACTGACCTGTGGGCTCCTTCCCTCCCCAGTATGCTCTAAGGCCAGCCTTGAGGCAATAGTGCGTCTCGAAGCAGAGCACGAGAGGCCGCACTTCGTGCCAACTGTGCCCTTCACTCCCTCAACTGCTCATTTTAACTTCTCTTTGCTCTCTCACTATAAAAAGAAAAAAAAAAAAAAGGAAAAAAAAAAAGATACCCTAGAAGGTAATTTATATTGAAAAAAAAGAGCCACGACCACGTTCACCTCATTAAATTTCCTCTGGTCGTGGTAATGCAGAAGTCAGGCTTTACATTACAAAAAGGTTTGTCAAGTGTGCATGACAGTATTCAGAGCAACACCATGGTTAATACTGAACAGATACACCCAAGTCTGCTGGATAATTCATGATCTGCAGCAGATTAGCCTGAACTCTCTGGAAAAGTGACGATGTTGCGTAAAAACTTCTGCCCCAAATGCTGAGATCTAAACAAGAAGCATCTGCCCAAATGCTCTTAAAATATAAACTTCATTTTTATCACATACATCTGCTAAAAAAAGGTATACTATTTTTAAAAAAAGAAAGTTAGGATATACTCTGGTCTTCACGTAAGTTGGCTAACGCTCCACAGAGCTAAGCACTACTTGATATAAAGCTCAAAAGCAGGCACAAATGTTTTCCTCGTTGTTCACCATTTACATGCTGAAACATAGGTCACATGAACGAAAAAAATGCCAGGTCCAAAAATAATTTCTTCTACTCTATTTCTTGTAGACTGGCTGCTGCTTTTAAAGGGACACAATTATTCCACAAGGGCTTCTTGTTCTACAGTGGAGAGTTCACTTCTGGGTTATAGTCCTCTTCCATCAAAGAGGTGAGACAGGAACTGTAGTCACTATAAAAAACAAACAAACTCCCATCAATATAAGCACCATAAATATGACAAAGTATGACTGGAGAGAAAAACAGAAGGAGAAATTCAGCAACTACAGTGCAAGTGCCCAAAGCTGTTTGATCCTTGATCAAAACCTGAAATAACCTAATTTTTTTTTTTTTTAAAAAAGGTCCCTGAAAAGGGCATTTTTGCTTTTACATGATCACTTCCCAGACTTGGTTTATAAAAAGGGTAATACAGACAAGCTGAATAAGAGTAAAGGGAAGAGCAGAGGAACTGCATGTGGCTGATGAAAGGAATTTCACACTTTGTAGCAATTTAAAAACCTGCTGCTAAAATACTAGTAATACTCTAGGCCACAGGTAGGCTTGGCCATTCCACGTGCCTTATCTCCTCTGTGTGCCCACATCATTCCTCACCTGCTCCAATACAGCCAGACTCCCCTCCCAAGAAGCTCATGACAGTAATACATCCAGTCTGCCATTAACTCCTCCACAGAAAATACTAGCAACAGAAAAAAAAGATAAAGTTTTTCTGCTACAGCCTGGTTTTCCTTGAACCATCTTACCTAACCAGAAGCAAACTCCTGAAAACACCAGATTTACTCCTGAAACACCAGCAAAGTTACATTACTGCTTTGATGCCGTCAGCGGTTTCTCAGGATCCCTTTAGGTGTGCCTTATTATGCCTTTATATTTGATTTATCAGAGTTTGTTTTCTTTGCTTGGGTATGTTTCCATTCTTTGATCAGTTTTGGTAATGCCATTCTTTTTTTAAGACTGTTCTGATTGAGGCTCAATATAAATACACATAAAGAACGGTAAAAGAATCACCACCTTTTCATCCTCTGGGTCATTCCCTTTAATAAACCCCTAATTTTCACATATTCTTTTTCTTTCTGAAACTAGATGTTATTGTGTAGTGGATTTTAGAAGGAGGGAAGCATTTTTGCACACAATCTGTGAGCCATGACAACATTTCCAGATACAGAGCAACAACAAGTCACCCTACAAACTACCAGCCAAGATGAGGCAAAACCAGAGTGAACGTGGCCACCCACACACAATACTGACCTGGGAACTTTCTTAGCATCCCATACCACAAGCTAGTAAGCATCACACACTGCAAACAACAAAAGCACTAATTTATCAAGGCCTGTTTTTATATGAAAGGGTAATTTTTCAGTGTGAATAGGGACATACTGGAACATCCAGCCTATGAGGAAAGGCGGCTTAAGCAGAGACCTTACCACTACATGGCTACAAAGATGATGGAGACTTTTTTTACAAGGAGTTACATGGAAAAGATGAGGGGCAATGGTTCAAGTTACTCCCAGGGAGATCCAAGTTGGACACAGAAGGAAAATTTTTCACAATGAGAACCATCAGCCATTTGGAATGATCTTCCCAGAGAAGTGGTTGACCCTCCATCATCGGATACTTCTAAGATTCAGCTTGACAGGGTATTGGGCCATCTTTTCCAGACTGTGCTTTTGACAGGAAAGGTTGGACCAGATAGTACTTGAGGACCCCTACCAATCTGGTATTCTGTGATTCTGTGATCTGCTGCAGACAGAACAGTCTTCCCATCACACTGAACTTAGCACAGGCACAGAACTCCTTCAGATATGGCATTCTTAGGCTGCTACCAAATGTTTGAGTAGTAAGTAGATGATGAAACTGGGAAAAAGTCAATGCAGTTGACCATATTTAAACAAGATTCATTACCTTCTGAATAAATATGCTTTTCAGAACAAACTGTATAGCAATTAAGCCATGTCAAACTATTGTCAGAATTCATACAATTTAAGAAGTCGATTTAATGAACCATAAGAACAATTCACAGTGATGTGAAAATGGACCTAAACAGAGCCAAGCACACACAGAACTGTTCTCTGGATTTAAGGGTATCTAAATAAATGAATGTCAGAGAATTACTGTTCTGAAGGAGGAACTAGGTCTGAGTACAATGCACAAATAAAACCATCACAAAAATGTAATACTCAGGTTCCACTTCACAAAAAGGTTCCCAATATCTTTGGGAAAAGGTCTGCAAAACGTGATGGTGCAAGACATCATCTTCTATTTCAGCACAATCAAAACCCAGATGAAACTCTTTGCGAAGCTCCAACCATCAATTTAGAAAAGATATCACAGAAGATTCAGATCTCCTAACTTGCTATTTGGATATCACTGCTAGTATCAGTGGCCAGGATAGTTCATCAGGGAGCAGTGTCTAACATGCACGTAAACGGTCCCAGTGCGGTTTCCAGACATGACATTTTGGACTAATGTCCAAGTCTTGCAAACATCATGCTTGAACAGTTAGCATGAATTAGGCACTGGTGATCAGAAAACTTTATACTTGTTAAAGGAACGACCTTCGCATCAACTCAAACCTTCTAAGCACGTATTTTGACACTTCTGTAACCTTTATTCTGAAACAATCTCATCTGTGGGTGCCACAGCGGCTGAGAGGTTCTGCACTGAGGTTGCAGTAAATTAAAGCAAGATACCTAAATTAATATCCACACATTTACCCTCAGGTAGTGCACAGAAGGCACACTTCAGCTAGTAGACTCAAAGCAGACTTATGTCTTGAGCCCTTTCAAAGCTGTGTTTCCTGGCATGAGCAAGGTACTGAATGCTATATACCAATACACTATATGCCAACACAGCCTGTAGCTGTCTCCATATTTCGGTAGGCACATATCCTGCTCTTCAGCCTTCTGTGCACACACTATCACAAAAAGAACAAGGTATGTGACATTAAAATGCAGTATTTTTTCTGTTACGTGAAACACTGAAATTACACTACTACTGAAGCACTTCAGAATTCAGGCTCAGCCCACATGCTCAACTTTACAGCCTCCTCACAAACACACTCTGAATCCTGTCCAATGCAACACCTTCAACCTACCTAAGACCACTTTCATAACCTACCATACTACTGACAACAGTAGTATCACAAAATCATAATGGGCAAGAGTCAAAGCCTCTCAATTACCTTCTCTGACAGCAACCTACAGTAAGTTCTTAGGAAAAAAAGAGCGTGAACAAAGTGAACAGCATTGGGGCTCTCAGGATACTTTCTTAGACTTTTAAGCCAGGATCTGTATGACTGCTTATTAGCAGTCAGAGCTTCTACATAAATCTGTTCAATTCCTTTGTATTTAGACACATGCAGAGGGGTTGGAGCTAGATGATCTTAAGGTCCTTTCCAACCCTAACTATTCTATGATTCTATGACTTACACATTTTTGCATCCCAAATGAGAGGGCACAGTTTACTTGTGCTTTGTGTAAAAGTCAATTTGTGGTTATAAAAATGTCAGCCTCAATTTAATCAAATGTTTTCTTGTGCCCAACAACATTCAAGTCATTTTGTTTTTACAATACTCATGATTGTATACATGATATATGTACTCATTGAGTCATCCCTCTTCCAGGCTAAATCAGACTATTTTGTGGAAGCTTTCTGAACTATCCTTATGAGTCTTTACAGTATGTTTTAGATATAACATCACCAAATCTGCATAAAGTGTTTAAGATTTGGGAGAATAACCAATTTATACAGTGGTAAAACTGTGCAATTTTTAACCTTGCTTCTTAATATTTAACATAGTTTCTTGTTTGTTTTGTTATTACTACACAGAACCGAAATGGCCTTTGCCAACTACTCAATAATGAACAGAGCAAAGAGATTCCTCAAAATACAGATGGGTGTCTGCTTTTCTCTGGTCACACACATAAACACGTGTGTGCAAATACACTCATGCATTCCCTGAAGGCAAAGTTCCCAATTCTTCTCATGTTGCATTTATAGTTCAGTCAAACTGGTCTCTGCTTCATTATGGAAAACAGCAAGGACAAAGATCATTTCCAGCAGCCACTCCCGATTCCAGGAAAAAAAGGCAAATGAAAATGCTTGTCAATGCAAATTTAATTCATTTTCTCTCTCCTTTTAAATGGATTTCAGTTTGAATTATTTCTGGAAATACAATTCAGAAAAAGAGAAAATAATAATAGTATCACTAAATGAGATGCTCTATAAAGGCATCCTTTCAGACACCTCCTTTCAGAACAATGAAATCTGCATTAATGAGCTTTGTTGAAGAAAAAAAGGTTGTCTGTCACTACCCTCAAAACATTCTTTCACTGATCAAAATTAAGAAGTCTTTAGAGAGTAATATAAGCACGTAAAAAGTTAAAACTCTGTATTAGCACTTGGGTTCCACTTGCTAACAGTAATTAACCTTTAAAGAAAATAATTTCAATTATCAAGTTTTCCATGTTGCATTAAAAATGTTTTAACTGTTATTTCAGAGCAACCTCTTTTTTGTAAGTTTTTGTTGTTACAAAAGTACTTTTTTCCCCTTAAGCAAGTGCTTAAGTTTCATATCTAAATATCACTCACCATGCCATTCAACATGCAAGAAGTGATACTTATCACAAACAAGTTAAAGTTGTCAGGTACTCTTTTATATTGCCAGATTTCATTGTGCATTCATCTAAACAAACATTAGAAACTGACACGAGAATGGAAGGAACATACAATCATACTCAATTTAAAGAAGAGACACAGACCACAGTAAGGAAACATATGTAGTCCAAGAAAAAAAATCCCCATTGTTCCATATACCATTCATAAAGAGTTCTGGTTGTGTTGCAGTTGAATACAGTTGCTCAGTTGTTTTAATCTTTCTCTTAACTTTCATTTCTACTCTAAACCATGAGTTTCTAAAGCCTGGATTCTCAAGTTGAGGTATCCAGACGTGCCTGGCACTAGGAACCAAGGAGGTATTCAATATATATGTATCGAATACTTACACTATTATACTATAGTATAGGTATATGCTGACCAAAATGTGACCAGAGACAAGCTAATCAAAAGCCACTGGGCTATGAAATGACTCCTTAGAAACAGATCAAGATGTTTCAAAAGTCCTAAGAAAGCACACAGACGAGCCTTATAAGCAGTACATTTTTCCTACTACCTTCT